CAATTATCCAATCTTGAGTGAGAAATTAGTCACGTGCATACGTCTTTATACCAGCTAAAGAACACTTTAACAAAAGACCATTGTTATGCAAACTATATAAAGATTTTATATAAAGATTTTTATATAAAGATTTGACTTATTATGCAAACGTTTTTGAAGCCATTTAAAAAACTCGCAGGTCGTGTTTTATTAGGTCTAAAGCCACTCGCGCTGCGCGCTCGTGGCTTTAAACCTAATAAAACACTCCTGCTCGTTTTTTAAATAGTACTTTAAATACTTTTCATATTTGCTGTATACTTCTTGTTCACACGGCCCCTCGTGGAAATCAGCTTTAGTTGACGAGGTTAGCGTGGTTAAATAAATATATCTGTCTGTCTGTCTGTCTGTCTGTCTGTCTGTCTGTCTGTCTGTCTGTCTGTCTGTCTGTCTGTCTGTCTGTCTGTCTGTCTATATAATAATTAAACTTCACTGGATTTATTATAAACCCATTCAAGCAAAGACAACGTATTACTAAGTGTCAAAGTGCACAAAAATTCATAAATGAGCTCATAATGCCATAGCAGGACTGTGCCGTTTCTTCCGTGCAATTTTCGCTCCTAAATTCAAATTCCCTCGTGGGATTCTCGCCTCATTACGTGGCGATCGAGTGTTTCTACCAATACCTGGCCTACAATAAAAATATCTGGGCTCATCTCTGTTATAGATATTGTAACAACCTTGATAACTTTTCATAAGTAATTGTACTTAAACGACTTAAATCGAAGAGTTCATTATCTGATTTTAGATTCTTGTTATCAACGCTATGACTGGAATCATAATCGGTTTATGTTTGGCTTTGGTAATTCTTGTTGTCGCTACCACCAACCTTGCTGTTGGTGTTTTAGCAACGCTCATCATCGCTTTGATCACGTGTTCTGTACTTGGTGTCATCAACATGATTGGTTGGAAACTTGGACCGCTGGAATCACTCAACCTTACTCTTGTAGTCGGGCTTGCTGTTGACTATGTTGTTCATTTGGCAGAAGGATATATGGAACTTAAACATGAAACAAGTGAAGCCAAAGTTAAGCATACTTTATCTCATGTTGGTATCTCAGTCCTATCTGGAGCCTGTACTACATTGGGAGCTTCAATATTTCTATTGGCTGCAAAAATTCTATTCTTCTTCCAATTTGGAATTTTCATATTCTGCACAATTGGTTTCAGTATTATGTATTCATTGTTTTTTTTCCCGACTGTTATGGCTCTGGTCGGTCCGGAAGGTGAGAAGGGATCAGTCATGCCTGCGATCAGGTGGGTTCGTGATGCTGTTCGCGGAAAGACAAAACAGGACAAAGATTGTGAATTGTGTAAAGGTAAAGGTTTCTACAAGAAGGAAATGAACGATGTACTTTCTACAAATGCGAGCAGCTCAGTTTAAACTGATAATATACACTATACGAACTTATTACGATTAATGGAAAAACCATTATTGTACTATATTTTATCTCTTTCTCTCGAACTTTATTGAGGGTTTGTGCAGTTTAGTTGTAAATAGTAAGGTATTTGTAAAATGTTAGTTCCATTATCTTTCGTCAGGTATCAGTATTCTGTCGGTTGTTTGTCAAAACATAGGCATTGCCTATTAGGCAAGTGTAAGTTGTGATCCGTCAACTTCATTTCAACCCTTGTGTACCTTTAGAACAAATGAGGAAAATGTTGAATTTTATATTTCATGCATGCATGTCCCACGAACCAGAAGATACTACACCAATCGATTCAACAAGCTGACTTCGAAGAAAAACCACCGCCATCGAGAAAACAACTTAGATTGCATGATTTCCGTACTCAGCAAGAGCAAACTGCGAACATCTTCCTCCTCCCTCGTTTTTGCTTAGCTTTCATTTTCTTGATTACGCCATTAAGCTGCAAAATATCTGATGTAAACACGATATTTAACACAGTTAACTGTGATTTAACGCACGTATTCACTTACCTACATCCAGTATATTGTGAGGCAGACACAGAAGAATATAACATAAGATCAACTAATTATATTTGTAGCTAGTGTATAATATACACTATATATAGACTGCATAATGTCATAGATGTTAAAATATTTAGTATTAATTAATGTATTATTTTAGGTGCATGAAAGGGTATGTAAAGTCAAGGACTTGTATACGTATATATGTAACAAGTATATAATACATTATTATTAAATTACTGTTACTTAATTGGCTGGTTATGATCACGTGCTATTGAATACAAATTTCCATTGGCGCACTGATATTTTCATCCGGTAAAAGATGAAATTGATCTTATGTTTTATTCGCCCTGCATATTGAAAGCCATTCCGGTCCAGGTCAGAGTCCAGGTATAAAACGCTTGCACCAATCGATTCAACGAGCTGAGTTCGCAGAAAAATCCACCGCCACCGAGAAAACAACTTAGATTGCATGATTTCCGTACTCCGCAAGAGCAGACTGCGAACATCTTCCTCCTCCCTCGTTTTTGCTTAGCTTTCATTTTCTTGATTACGTCAAATGTTCATTTAAAACATAATTACTCCGCCTGCGCATGCGCAGTGCGGAGTCTAAAAATGCCTGAGTCTGTTGTCGGTTGTCGTCAGTGTCACAAACAGGCTCCTTGATAAATGTGTACATTCCATGATATTTAGATACTTTCCATCGACATTTGTGGATAATGTTATACGATTTGGCAGCGCAATGCGCATGCTTACAGCTCTGCTTACAGTATTTTTCTAAACTGTGCACTGCGAAACGGTCTTGTGCGAAGAAAAATACTAAACGATGAATGTCAAGACAAAGCTTCAAGACTCAACTGAGGTAAGGGATACTAAACATTCTAATTTTGGTAGTACATGCTGCATTTTGGCAACACGAAATTCTTTAAAGTCATAAATATAAATAAAAATATTCACTCCTACTGTATGTCGTATTGTCGATCTTATATTCTTGACTAGCAAAATATAATCTTATGTGAAAGGTCCCTACAATGTTCTGAAGAGTTTAGGCTATGTAGTGTTCAGGCAATCGGGTTATTAAATATATTTCAATGTTTTGAAGAGTTTAGGAAATGTAGTATTGAAGCTGTCGTGTTTATAATTTACTATACACGAAACGGCAGCCATGTGGTAGTATTAAGACAAAGAATCTCATTATTTTTTACTGAATTTCGCACATTCTTTTAATTCTCAAGGGATTGGTTGCAAGACAAGAATATAATCTATGATATATAGTCATGTTAACAAATAACAGAAACGTCAGCTTCTTCAACTCACAGCCAGCTTGGGTTTGCTTGCTTTGCTCTTTCTACTGCCCTTGTGTGTACTGTTAATAGATACTATGTGTTATGTAATGTATTTAATTCAACCCTACTAGGACTCTGGGCAGAATACCTACCAAGCCACTCAAACATGCTTTTTGGGCCTCTATTATTACAATGATGGGCCAAACAGAATTGGTGTGTCAGAATTAATATCCTATTTCTGTCTCTTATAGGTTATGGCACTTTCTTATGAAAATTCAAAGAAGTGTGTTAATGCCATTGTTCCTTTGAATGCCAAGTTAACTTTGAATGCAATGAATGCCAACTTAACCTTGAATGCCATGAATGCTAACTTATCTTTGAATGCTATGAACACCAACTTGTCTTTGAATGCTTATATTTGGCTTCACTTTTCCGTCGCACCCTACATTGTCCCCATTTTCTCCACAGGCCGGCAGGCGGAGTGAACGCCTGAGTAGGCGTCTTGTTTGCTATCAATATCTAACCCTAATAATGTAGTAATGTCAAATTGATTCGGTTTTAATCATGTAAGGACGTATATATATGTTTTTGAGCTCCTTGTTTTTTGTATGCATTTTCTTGTCTTTTGGTCCTGAGGTTGTTGGATTGGCTGTTCCTCGTCAGGAGAAGCTTCTGCTTCAACAGATATCGTGTTTGAAGGGGAAAGTTATGAAATTAAGCTGGAATTTCCGAGTTTATTGGTCGACTTTTACAAGTTACTTAACCATGCAGAACGGGATAGGACGCTATTAGTCTATTTTACTACGTTAGCTAGTTTTAACCGGTTGTGATTGCTTGTTGGAGGAATATGTTTTTGATAAACAATATTTTGGAAATGAGCAAGAAATACAACGAATTTATGTCTGGCCCTTTGGTTTTACGACGGTGTTCAGCCAAGCTAATCGTGCCCAGATTTGCATACTGTTGAAACGTACAGGTCGGGATTTGTTTTTAATTGGGCCGGTTTCGCTTAATGAATTTAAGAAACGAAAGCTATCTAAATATAGAGCTATGTATTATTCATACTATGTGCACACGGTAACGTTTTCGAGCGTTTTCAGCTGTAACGTTTTCAACATAAGCGTTTTGGCGCTTTGTTTACATTGATTGTTTTTCTCGCAACGTTTCTGATCAGGCACTAGTTACCAGTTCCAATAGCTAAATTCAAACACGGTCTAGGTCTTCGGCCATTTTGTTGTCTTCTCGTTTTAAACACAAGGTTAAAGTGTGTTGTCTGTATGACTATATTAACAACAGACATATTAACAACAACAATATTAAAACATGCAGGCCTCAACCTCTGAAGCTGAAGATACCGTAAGCGAAATTACCGTGAATACCGATGCAAAAAAGAGCAAATACAACGTCACCAAAGGCAAAGAGAATTTCGTGTGGACAGATACCGAAGTTGAGCTACTACTTTCAATCACACAGGAGTACAAAACACGGAAAACTAACGAAGGAGTTTATTGGAGCAGTTGCAAAAACAAGTACAGTGAATTAAACGAAATGTTTGTGGAGAAGTTGATGCTTGTTGATCAAACCGAAGGCGAGTATCCACATGAAGTAGTTGAGTTTCAACAAAATCCTGCTAGACTTTCTCGTAAAATCAAACAATTGAGAAATAAATATGCAACTGCTGTGAGAGCTGGGAAGAAAAGTGGTGGGGGTAGACAAGTTTTCAAGTTCTACGACCTCTGTCAGGATGTTTTTGGGGGGAATGCTGCAGCCGAGCAAATACCTGGAGGTATTGAAACTAATCATCATGGTCCTGAACCTATCAGTGGCACAATGGTAAACCAAGAAAATGTTGAACCAAGTCAACAGGAAAACACCACACTTGATTCCGACGAGAATTGCTCTGGAGATGAATTATTTGTTCCAGCAAAAGCACAGCCAACCAAACGCCGTCACCTTATCACTGACCAGAGGAGGTTGGACAGCCAATTAGGCGAACATCTCGACCAATCAGATTGCGCCATTTTCTTCATGCTCGCACGAAGCTTTTAGCATCGAAAATTTACATAGGGCTCATAAATATCGATTTTTTTCATATTGTTATGCAATTTTTTTGGAAAATTTCACGCGATACTACTTTTACAACAGTCAATCTACCCATTGGAACGGTATCTTAAAAGGTAAGCGTCATTTTCCAGTTTATTTTGACCTCTCACTTAGGCGCTATACCGTCGCGATGTAATTTAATGGCGTTTCTGTCAACAATCTTTGAAGACAAAAATCTCAAATCTCCATGGTTCGATTTCTCTATTTTTTTCACGATTAGTTAGATAAAAGTATAATCTTTAATTCTATCCAGCCGGCCCCCCTCGGCCTCTCAACCGTTTTCGAGATATTCACCGTTGAATATAGCCCTTTGTGAAATATGCTGCCTTGTCACTCAGATCAATAATGAACTGCTATTTATACTAGCTTTTTTCTAAAGAAATTTGATATACTACAGAAGTCTCGATATATTACGGATTTATATGTATTGTTTAAAGTATGTAAGTAATTAAAGCACTTCTGTAACAATATTTTATTGCTGAAATTTATTGTTTGGCTGATGTTTTAGATTTGAGATTCGTGATTTTGGCTAGTGGATTCTATTTTTGTCAATGATTCTGTCTGCAAGAATTATTAAAGCATCATCATTAAATTCGGAGTTCTAAACTTGTTCACCTCTCTGGTAAATGTTATTGATATGATGACTTCTGGATTTTCAAAACTAACCCAGAGACAACCAGAACAACTACTCATCCACCTGTTTCAATAATGGCTGGTAAAACTTAATCCTGGTTTAGATGCTAAATTCAAATGTACCTCAAAATTTTCTCCCACTTGTTGCCAAGGCTATGTCTGTACTTCATGCTGGTCAAAAAGACAATCTGATTTATATAGCTGCTCGATGCTTTGGAGAACAACGCCATGGAGATGTTTTAATATCTAACACCAATTAAAATTGGTCCTAGAATGCCATTGGATAGAATGCCCTTTATAGCAGTGAAGGCCCACTTGGCCTTATTTAACAGTATTTTGTATAAATGCTGTTACACAACTAATTCAGATAAAGTTTGAGAAATGGTTGTTCTTATGCACCTATCAATGTTAAGCTCCACAGAGGGGCGTCGGACATATGTGGGGCATTTGATTTTTTGAGCAAATTTTCAATCAAATGTCCCACTGTTGGGCAATAAATATCGGCCAAACACCCCAACATTTTGCAATAAACTGCACTAAATACTATGTTAATAAAAGTCATTTTGGTTCAAATTGCACTAACTCAGGCCCAAAATCCTAATCAAAATCCCTAGGGTTGGGATGCAATTAATGATCAAATACCCTACATCTGGGACTTAATATTGATAGGTGTGCATATGCAGGGTTTTTTTGTATTGTCATATAATGTACCACAAAGTATCAGCAGCATGTTATTGTGGGACCTTTGATCAATATGTATATAAATAGACATATTTTTGTTCTATTGTTGCATTAATTTTAATGAAAAATTACTCACAAAGTTGGTCAAGTGAATGTATAAACTATTTATTTATTCATTTAGTGTACAGCACATGTTACAATTATGTACTTAATTGACAGACATTGTTTTAATGACAGACATTGTTTTAATTGCACCCACTTGTGATTAACCTAGTTTTTGTTTATTAAAAATGCTGACAAAAAATCTAAAAAGTTAGCCAATTGAAATAACAGCATTTCTATAACTTGCTAAACCTAGTCAGTTGCTATTATATCACAAACATATGTCAACATACACTCATGCTCTTCTTTACCACTTGAGTCTCCCACTCACCACATTACTTTAATGAAATTTTTGGATAAAATACTATTTTAAAATGTAAGTCAACCCTATACTTGATATGCTGAACATAGACCTCTAAGATATCTCCTGCGGCAATTAGTGGGTGCAAATACTTGCATAGTTCGGAAGCAATATTAAATAACCAACATGTGTCCATCCAGTTCCATATAGTCCAGATCAATTGCACTTGGGTCCATTGGATTCAATTGCTCTGGCATATTCTTACATTCACTGGTTTATCTTGTCCATGAAGAGCAAGTATATTGCCTGTTCCAAATGATGTTGGTAGTTTTTCTCATGAGCAGCGCTGGTGCACTTGAATGGTACAGCATGGATGATTTCGTTCTCGTCACTTTCATCCTCATCACTTAACTGGTCACCACTTTCTGCCGTATCACCTTCATTACCATATATCCATCCTGACCAGGTTCAAGACCAGCCAACCACTCAAGTAGATTTCTTTCTACAAAATCATAACAAGAAATTTTTTATTTTATACATACACTGTAATCTCTAAAATTAGCAATCTAATGCAAAAGTGTGTCACTATTTACAGTAATATTAGAACAACACACAAATATGGCAATATTACTTACAGATGAAAATTGAAAAATATATAACTACTGTATAATAACTATCACAGTGACAGAGTACATAGACACACACAATAGGGTCAAACTAGAGGCAATAAACACAAATATTACGCTATAATTTTGTGCAGTGTATTTCTGAAATTACAGTACAGTACAACTGTACAGTACAAGAATAAAAACAACAAAGCGGAAATTTGACTATAAAATAACAAGATAACTGTAATGCATTGTATTATACCAACCTTAAATACTGCGCTTGTTTTCACGTTGATGATACACGAAGATTTAACGCCATCCAACTTAGAAAGAAGAGCCTTGCTATTGGGATTTGGGAATATTTATATAAACACAATTCCTTCGCTCAGACGGATTATTTATGAACTAAACTAAAATGACAGCACGTCCCATGCAATTTTAAAAAAGGTAAACTTGGTATAGCAAAACACAAGTCATAATGAGGATCGCAACACTACAGCAATATGCTGTTCTGACACAATAGTCGTTCGAAAGCTTCCATATTTGTTTAGTCAGAGAGATGTTCACTCCTCGATAGTCAACAGTCAATGAAGCCACGCCGTGGAATTAGGCGCTCAATACCCATGATGCTTTGCGGCCTGCTGTCCAACCTCCTCTGATCACTGACTTAAGAAGTCAAAAATTGAAAAAGAAAATCACCACAGATCAGCAAATGATTAATATAGCCCAGAAAGAGCTTGTCCTACAAGAAATAACCTGAAGTTCAGGCCCTAATTTGGGCATGGTAGACTTTACGGGTAGCGGATTGCGGAGTGCGGATTGCGGATGCGGATTGCGGATGCGGATTGCGGATGCGGATTGCGGATTACGGATGTGGATTGCGGATGCGGATTGCGGATGCGGATTGCGGATTACGGATGCGGATTGCGGATTGCGGATGCGGATTGCGGATGCGGATTGCGGATGCGGATTGCGGATGCGGATTGCGGATGCGGATGCGGATTGCGGATTGTGAACCCATACAAATCGTTTATTTCTTCGGAAAAAAGCCACAATAATTGCTTGAAGCTACTTGTAGCAATGCTAAGCCCCCTAGGAAATGGCTATATATGTCTTGGTTATAACGGAGTATATCCGTGTTAGAATATTTCGACAATAAAGAATAAACCAAGTTTGAATAAAATGAAACACGCAGATTCAAACATTTCGTAAGTCACATCGCGTGTACGGCGTGTATGGAGCTAAAGAATTCATTGACCGATGACAAATAGTGACAAAGAAAATATAGTGACGTTTAGTGTTTACTGCTAGACGTACATCCAGGCTCTAAATAGTTACTTTCAAGAAAAATTAGGTAGATACATAGATGTTTATTTACCCTAATCACCACAAATGTTTAAGTTGTTAATAAACAACCTCAAGAAATCGGATTTTGTGCAAGGCTGATAATATTCTATTTATTTTAATTAATATTCTGGAGGAAACACAGTGAAGGTTAGTTTTTATAGTGAATACTATTTATCAATACTGATTACTGTTGATTTGAAACTCGATTTTGATAATTATACAGTGTCGGTGAAACGAGGACGCAAAATCAATGGACAATGGCGGATTTTCAAGAAAATCATTATTTTCAAAATAGGCCGTTTCAATTTTAATAAGTTTTCGTTTCAACTGTGTCTTTAAAGGTTTATAACTATATATTTTGAAAGCTTCAAATGCGTGTGCTTATATGCGCAGCAAGGTGAGATTTTGAAAATGTAATATATATTTTTGAATTTCCGTGGCATAACAACAGTTTGTTGCGAACATTTTCTCGGCGAATTTTCTACTAACCTGAATATAAATCCAACTAAAATGTAGGCATTTTCATAAGCTTTCAAACCATCCGCGTTGCATGGGTGTATGTCGTTAAATTTCGAATTAATATAAGCGGTTGAACCTCATGCCTAAAACCAGACATTATATTGTCCGACTAGAATGTGTATTCCGACGGCGATTTTTACACCCTCGTTTAGGCAACGAATTCTCGCTCAATATTCTAGCTACAATATTATAGCTCGTATCAAAATGTAGCTGAATTCGCCAGCTATCTGACAATTTACGTAAAATTATTGTACCTGTAATATTCGCACAGATATAGTCGAATAAAAGTCGTATGTTTATGTTGCATTAAACTTTCTAATTATAATTCTGGTTTCAAATTTTGTTTACATTGTGTGATTTTGACCCCGTCGTTTAGACAACGTTTTCTCGCTCAATATTGTAGCTACAGGAATATAGCTCCCGCTAAAATGTAGGCATTTTCACCAGCTATCTGACAATATGGGTAAAATTATTATACTTTTAATATTCGCACAGATATAGACGAATAAAGTCATGTTTATGTTGCATTAAACTTTCTAATTATAATTCTGGTTTCAAATATTGTTTACATTTTGTTATTTTGACCCCGTCGTTTAGACAACGTTTTCTCGCTCAATATTGTAGCTACAGGAATATAGCTCCCACTAAAATGTAGGCATTTTCACAAGCATTCAAACCATCTGCGGTAGGGGTGAATATCGTTAAATTTCGAATTAATATAAGCTGTTGAAACTTTTGCCTAAACCAGACATTATATTGTCCGACGGTAATTTTGACACACCCTCAGCTGGCCTCAGCTCGTTTAGACAACAAATAAGTTTAATGCAACATAAACATACAACTTTTATTCGACTATATCTGTGCGAATATTACAGGTACAATAATTTTACGTATATTGTCAGATAGCTGGTGAATTCAGCTACATTTTGGTACGAGCTATAATATTGTAGCTAGAATATTGAGCGTTGCCTAAACGAGGGTGTAAAAATTGCCGTCGGAATACACATTCTAGTCGGACAATAAAATGTCTGGTTTTAGGCATGAGGTTCAACCGCTTATATTAATTCGAAATTTAACGACATACACCCCCAACGCGGATGGTTTGAAAGCTTATGACAATGCCTACATTTTAGTTGGACTTATATTCAGGTTAGTAGAAAATTCGCCGAGAAAATGTTCGCAACAAACTGTTGTTATGCCATGGAAATTCAAAAATATCTATTACATTTTCAAAATCTCGCCTTGCTGCGCATGTAAACACACGCATTTGAAGCTTTCAAAATATATAGTTATAAACCTTTAAAGACACAGTTGAAACGAAAACTTATTAAAATTGAAACGGCCTATTTTGAAAATAATGATTTTCTTGAAAATCCGCCATTGTCCATTGATTTTGCGTCCTCGTTTCACCGACACTGTATAATTATCAAAATCGAGTTTCAAATCAACAGTAATCAGTATTGATAAATAGTATTCACTATAAAAACTAACCTTCACTGTGTTTCCTCCAGAATATTAATTAAAATAAATAGAATATCATCAGCCTTGCACAAAATCCGATTTCTTGAGGTTGTTTATTAACAACTTAAACATTTGTGGTGATTAGGGTAAATAAACATCTATGTATCTACCTAATTTTTCTTGAAAGTAACTATTTAGAGCCTGGATGTACGTCTAGCAGTAAACACTAAACGTCACTATATTTTCTTTGTCACTATTTGTCATCGGTCAATGAATTCTTTAGCTCCATACACGCCGTACACGCAATGTGACTTACGAAATGTTTGAATCTGAGTGTTTCATTTTATTCAAACTTGGTTTATTCTTTATTGTCGAAATATTCTAACACGGATATACTCCGTTATAACCAAGACATATATAGCCATTTCATAGGGGGCTTAGCATTGCTACAAGTAGCTTCAGGCAATTATTGTGGCTTTTTTCCGAAGAAATAAACGATTTGCATGGGTTCACAATCCGCAATCCGCATCCGCAATCCGCATCCGCAATCCGCTACCCGTAAAGTCTACCATGCCCTATTGCGTATCGTACTAGCGTATGCCAGCGCATGAAAAATATCACTTATACGCCGGTATATGCTTCTCACACGTTTCTCTCATACGCAATAGTGCGACAGGGCCTTAAAGAAAGCTTGATATGTTTTCTATTGCTCAATATACATATGAGTGCACGTGGTTCAAGTAAAAATGGAACCGCACAGCTAATACTATAACTAACATTTCACTTTTACTTGAACCACTCGACATATATCATATTTCAATTTTAGCATTAGCCGTGGACTTATCAAAAGTGCAAGGTTTATAGATATGTTATTATTATAGATAGACATTATGTTAAAGCTAACTGTAAATAGCATGTATAATATTGTTGCTAATGTTGGTATTTTCCACGTCACTCTGTTGTATCTAGTTTTGAGATGGTTCTCTATATTTCACTTCACAAGAGTTTTAATTAGTGAAGACACTTAGAAACTTCAAAGTTAAGATAATCAAGTAAATTTTAGAAGATAGTTACTGCAACACTTGTACGAAGAGCAGTAACCAGTAAACCGAATTGGCTGCTTTGCTTTTCGACTGCTACCCGCTATCTTTTCAAAAAATCTGAAACCTTATACTGCGTGAAATCTCCAGTCACTCACATCGTCTTGGTACAAGATGTCACCGAATGGTTTGTACGCGCTAATTACCGCTGGCGCGATTTGGGAACGAGATTAATGATGTGTTCGACCATCAATGATGTGCTCGACCGTCGACGGTTTCGAAATTTGCCCCGACGCCATTGCGATGTTTAGAGATGCTTTCCACGGTGTATAGCATTTCAATGAGCTTTGATTCCTCTAATACAGCTTTAATTTTCTTTCCATTAAGAAGAGTCAAGGTGGAATTTTGGCGTATTCTGGGCGATTTATCTCTTTCCAGTGAAACAAAGTATTCTGAGAGATATTTTCCAGACGATTGCATGCTACACCATACTCTTTAAGATTACCCCCAAAACATCTCGCAAAGGCATTCTTTAAAACGATGATACAAGGCATCTGAACAGCTCACATCAAGGTAATGGAATTTATCTTTCTTTTTTTTGTACATGTGGAAGAGAGATTATATATCTAAACCATACTTCGAAATTCTTTCTTCCCATCACAAGATAGCTGCTTTTGTCTTTAATACAGGATATTGCATTGTGGTTTTCATTGTGGTTTTCCTTCAAGACCAAGCAGCAGCTTATCGAAGTCAAAGCATTTAGCTAGCAGTCTCGAAACTTCGGCTGTGCCATTGTCTAATCTGTTTTGTGACGAAGCTTTTAAATCTATAGCAAACTTTTTCAATTCCTTCATCAACTGTTCTAATGATCTTTCAATCCAGGTATACATTGCTTCTTCGCCATAATCCGGATGCACCATCCTATCATTGCTCGGTAAAACCAAACTCGTAGGCTTGATATGGACCATCAGTGGACGTACCACATACCGAATTTTTTCTACCGACTACAGTTCTACTCTTAAGTTTAATAAAATGCATATTTAATTTAAACAAAAGCCTAATCGGGTTTGGGCCATTTGGCTTGACTTGAGAACGCTCGCAGCTTGTTTCGGATTGTATTAAGTCACTCGCAGCTCGCATCTGACTATTGGTTCACTCACAGCTGATCAATTTTATACTCTCGCAGCTACGCGTAGAGAATTTGATACAAGTTTTCCAACCTGGCATATTACAAGTGTGCAATTTTTCCTAAATATGTTTCATAAAATAGTGAATAATCATCAAGCCATCAAAGTATGTTGTACTTTTTACTCGCTGGGGTACCTGTGCCCCAGACGAGTATAGGTTTCGGCACGCATTTTTGGTGGATGTCAGATGTACGGTGGCCCATACGGGCCAACCCTTCTCCGTAGAAACTTGCACCTTCTCCGTACAAATGTGTTGTTATTCCTTGGAAATCCAACTTCTCCGTGGAATATTGCAGTTGTTCTGTCACGAAAAGCCTTTTCTCCGTACAAATATGCAGTTTCTCCGTGGAAACACGCATCTTCTCCGTGGAAACACGCAGCTTTTCTGTGGAAACACTGCAGCTTCTCCGCGGAAACGCGTAGCATTTCTGTGAAACACGATGCGGTGGCCCGAACGGGGCACCTCTTCTCCGCTAGCCTGCATGGAAGGCGGTATTTCTACGGGCAGCGAAAATTAGGGAAGCAAAGGAAATACCGTCTGCCGCAAAACTAGGGGTTTTTGAATTACCCGTCCGCTGGTGAACGGGAAAAACGGATTGGTTAGTATTTTTATGTAGTTGTCAATCAACGGCTAAATTCGGTTAAATGTTAATCATTAACCAAATGTTTTGATGTTTTGAAACTCTGCGTTTTGAAATTAGTTCACGTCAAGTCAGACCAGAAATGGAATAACATAATAAAAGAAGCAAATTTAAAGATACAAGCTGAAAAATAACACTCCAAATAGTGTTTTTGATAGCGATTCGAACAAGAATATTTAACAAAGAAGATACGTCCGAAGGGGCCGAAGTTATGATCGGCGAAAGGTATGGGCTAGTCTATATTTTCGTTCAGACAATTACATGCGTATTAATTTGATAATATACTATCTCGCTTGACTTTCAAAGGCCATAAATCGCAATAATGTTGACATTTTACTAAAACTATCGATACAAATTAGGAGGTATTTCTTCACTGAATCGAACAGTGGGATTTCCATATAGGCCTATCAGTCATGTTCTGAACCAAAGATACTTGATAGATATTATATACGAACCTCCAAAGTATAAACAAGGGGCCGCGGTTGATGCAGTAATTATCAAATAACTGTTAAACTCTTATATACCCGTTGAATATGTATAGTTGTAAACAAATAAAAACTATCGTTCTATAAGGTTCAATACTTTCAGTTTGGTTGTTGACTGATGATGAATCTATAGTATAGACTTGCATGCTTTGTATTTTGAGCTTATTAAACCACCGTTTTAAGGCAGCTAAACGGGCTTGGTTTATATTAACACATAAAATAAATTCCTTGGTTCTCATCACTAGACACAGTCTACACTTTGAAATGTCGAAGATAGTGGGAGATTTATTTTTTATATATTATATTTATATAATTTATATATCAATAGTTCGTATCTCCACGAACAATGACAGAATGACTGGGTTTCTTTAAAATACAATGAAATTTCACTCAAAATTCTGTTTGTTTCAAATTGGAAGTTTAAAATGGCAATAAAAACTCTATATAAAATAAGAAAAAATTAACTGTCTTGAATTATTTTGTCGGGCGGTACATTTATATTGTATAACTAAAAATAAAACGTTTTCACGAGGATTTTAAAATTCAGTCGGGCGGTGATGAGAATCAAGGGAGCAGCTTGGGAGTGGCTAATTTTGAATATTTACTTAATTAATGCATCTATAAATAGCGTTGATGCTTCAGGGCACTGAGCTTCAGGGGCGGTAGTTCATTTACACCCAGTTTTGCGGCAGGCGGTATTTCCTACGTACCGCCTGCCATGCAGGCTACAAGTGACTGGAATCTCTGACGTCTCAACTCCGCTATAATTGAAGCTAAACAAAATAGCCAAATTGTATCAAATTTCAGAGGCTGTCGAGTCTTCAAAATCGCGGTTGGTAACAAGTTTTATTATGGATGTTGGTACTTCAAACTTCCATTTTTTTAAAATTAACCATATTAGTCACTGAATCCAGTTAGGTGCCACTTTGAGAAATTTAAAGTCGAATTTGATATACGTACAAAGCCGTATTTAGACCAGGTGCTTGTTATCGCTAAAGTTTGCTATAATCGTTCTGTAAAAGCATCATAAAACAAGGCAAGTTTGCCCAGGGATGCCGGAACCACGGGTGCAGCGGGTGCAAGTGCACCCCTTGCCTTTTGCATTTTCAACTTTGTGGGTGCAGTACGGGTGCAGAATACGGGTGCAACGGGTGCACAAAGTGCCCTTTTTGCGTGAAAAATTTTCATTAAAATTGCATTTTTTGCGCAAAGGCCATTTTTGAAAAATTCAATCTATGTTATTTCCTGAAAAATGTTTTAATTTCCGGAAAAAATAACATTTTCCGGAAAATTTTTCGGTATGTCCGGAAAATTTTTTTCGTATTTAGGAAAAATTGTGGTATGTCCGGAAAATGTTTTTTACCCCTAAGATGGTACACTGACCAAAAAAATTTTGGC